TGCTGAAAGATTGTCCGAAAATTTGATAATTGGCCGAGAAGCGAAGCTTCGAGGGCAGATGTGAAATTTTGAGGACAGTCTCCCAGCCAAGGACAATATCAGCCGACAAACCAGCGAGCCAGAAATAGTTTATTTATTTTAAGGCTCTACCATTAATTTTCATATCGCGCGTTGACAGCAAATTTTGTTGACTTTTATTTACTTTCCGCAACAGCATTTGAGATCAGCATTTTTTAATGTCGCTAACACTGGACCCTATTACATAAGTTCGTTTTTCTTCCGACATGTAAAGTAAAACAAAGATTAAAAGTTAAAACTATTTTGAGCTGGCTTTTTTCCACTGGCTTTATTTCTTTTGGACGAAAATAATCGAAGGACAGATATCAACCTAAACGGGGACTATTGCGTAATAACTGTCCTACGATTTTGCACCACCAGTCGAAAAGTAGCGAAAATTAATGGGTAGCCCGAACGTTGTCGACATGAATTTCAATTTCCTTTCGTGAATGTTCTTGATTAATCAAGACCTTTGTACAAAGTACAGTAATGTAAAATTTAGTCTCCCTTTTGCTAGTCTGGATATACGGTGTGAATATGTAATTTACTGTTCAAAAAAAGGTTTACTGATGTCCACTCTCCTTCCTGGATATTACATATATCTGATTCACTGGGAACACCGACAAGTAAGCAATATACGAACGTAAAAGAAAGATCTCTTCAGTCAGGAGTCAACCTTGTTCCCAGTTTCACTTGTGTTCGTACCCATTCTTGCATCTTTGGACGAGGAAAGGCGAGGAAAGGCCTGGAACGAGAGTGCCACTTGAGGATGATAAAATAGATATATTTAACAACTAGATTTCAAGTTGCCGTGCGTCTGTTCAATAATAGATCACAGATGACGTCAAAATGTGGTAAGAACAAAAAAGTGGCACACGAGGCGCAGTCACAACAGTTTGTTACTTACCACATAAAAAGGAACTGATTTCCTCTGGTGCATTTAAAAATAACAACACAGAGCGGGTGGTATGCCGTTTGCGCTATATTCAAATCTAGAAAAATCTTTTATTTCCTTGTAACAATAAAGGTCTCACCACGCCGCCTTTGATTTCTGAGGGCTGTTAGTATCAATATTATCAATGTGAATGAAAGTGATCCTCGCAGTAATGAACACTACTTGAGCAGTATTGAAAATAAGGCCTGAAAATTTCAGTCCTGTGCGGGATTTGAACCTATTTTCACTACTTTCATTTTCACTACTGCTCAAGTAGTGTTCATTACTGCGAGGATCACTTTCATTCACGTCTTTATCCGCAGTTCAAAAAGATGATTTTCATATATTCACAGCCGTTTAATTTTTTCAATGCTAGTTTACGAGGAACGTGACATAAAAAAAGTTTCTTGAAGATTGGAGAATTTGTTTAAAAAAATGAGCAACGGACTGTTCTAGAAGATTGGAAATTGATCTTGCTATAAAAACAAAAAAAATGAAACTGCAACAATGAATTGCTGACGATCAAGACACGTCATTCATAATTGGTCACAGTTGGTGAAAAAAGAATATCATTACGTAGTGCTCTCTGACTTTTTTTTTTATATTTTCCTTGGGGAATACCCCTGTAGGACTCTTTCCAACTCACACATTACAGTGGTGCAACAGATCAAATTCCCAAGATCAGCCGGCTGAAGCGCATTTTAAATGATGTAATGCTCTACTAAATATCATGATAATATTAATTTCCTGACGCAGTGTTTTTGGTTTCGAGTCATCTGACCGTCACGTTCTAGAACTTTGAAGGAAGGTTATAGAACTTTTAATTTGCTAAAAACAACTCAAATGTGTTGATGCAAATTTAAATGTTACTAAGTTACGTAGGAAAGCAATCGGAAAGGTAAAAATTCAGTGAACGTACATTTAGGTTATAATTTCGCTCAAGTCCTTGGTCTCGCCTGGTTTTCTGTCCTATTTTCAGTGTATTTACCAGTGAATGACTTGAAATAACTGTGGTAAATATCAGCTTGGAAAAAAAGCGTAAATTGTCTTGATTTTTAGCGGAGTTACACGTTCACGACACGATCGAGATACAATTCCCAAGAATTTTTGCTTAAACGAGGATCTACATAAACACTGAAGATTGGATCCAAGACTCCATTTATTCAAGTACACTCACAGATGCACTGAGAAGTTTCTGGGGAATATTTACAGAACTCACAACAATCAAAGGTAAGTATCGAAGGCAATTAAAATATCAAAAGTTCCCTTTTTAGCAAGTTGATTTAACGCAGTCATATTAAATTTTTACAGACTTCAGGTCAAATATGGGTCGTACTTCCGTTAATACTATTTTTACAGTACAGGTTTGTTCCGCATTATCGCTAAGCAATAAGAATTTCCGTTCTTCGCTTTAAACTTTCCCCGATTTTCGTTGTCCATGATATTTTTTCACAAAATCACCGACAGAATGGACTTCCGCTGTCAGCGCTAAAAATTTCCCCCTTATTTGTATAGCTTCAGTTATCTGATACTTTTTTAAGTCTGTGGTAAATTTCTCTTTCCTTCAGCAATCTGTCGTTGTCGAGATGGGAATCATTTTCGAAATTCTGAAGCACTGTGTCAGCAAAGAAAAAAGAAGATTCACAGATGATGGATTTGACCTTGATCTAACTTGTATCCTTCTTCACAAACGTAGGAAGTAATTCGAATTTTGACCTTGCGGGTGATTGCGGGTATAAACAACGAGGGTTTCGGGATTCTGGCCCAGTTCTCTGTATGAGACCATATTTGGGTGAGCACCCTCGGCATGCCTCAAATATGGCGGCCAACCTATGATATGTGATGGTCTGTCTGGCCTAATTGTCGTAATGTACTGTAGAATTCTGCAGTTACTGACATAATTATCGGTGAAGGTATCATTGAAGCATGTGTCAGCGGAGGAAGAGCCAAAATTAACAAACAGAAGCGGGTTGCTCAAGAAGTTTTTCGTTAACTCACTCTATAACAGTCACCCTCTGAGATGGCATATTTCAAAGCTCTCGTGAGTAAGAAGAAACGGCGGTTTCAGGAAGATGGGTTTGATTTGGATTTAACATGTATCCTTGTTTGCACTAATGATACGGCCGTGCGTATTTATGTTTAATAGCAAGAACGTATTTACATCAGCTACTTGATCTCTAAACTAAGCGCGCTGCAGTGGTCATTTCACAAGCCAACCGTTGCAGTGTCGAGGAATTGGTGTAGAAGTTAAGGGTCTTTCAGGGCTCTTTTTTTAACTTGTATATTTCACTTTGAGCTAAATTGTTATTTGAAGTTTTCAGGGGTATTAATAATTTTCTGTGCTCTTCGCAAAAGATCGACCATTACATTCTGCTTATCGATTGGTACGTACGTTCAACATGAATCTGTGCTGGGCAATCTTGTAATCTGTGCAGTTGCTTTAATCGGGGTCGCGTATTTAACTCGGCTTCTGGTGTTTGATTTTCTCCTTCATTTAAGCTTTCCGTAAAATCGAAATAATCTTTTCATCGTATTTCTCATACGTCATTGCATAATTACTTATTTCTGGGGCCGTTGCTTAGACGGCTTAGATACGACTCAGCAAAATATTGTCTAGTTGCTAAGATATTTTACAAGCTTCCGCTTTCCTGTAAGATTGTTTGAACTGTACAATATCCTTGAAGTTGAAACAAATATAAAAACTCTTTAAGAATTATTTTTAGTGGTGAATCTGTTGTAAAAAATGCATAGTTTCGCTAAACATTTCTAATTTTTCAAGGAGAAGTGATAATTTAATCAATCCTGAGCTTCCAGAGGTTATGAGAAGTAATTATTGATTTAGCATTTTAACATTTTTGTCACAATGGTGCTTCAATCATGTGTTTTTGTTCTTTAACTAATTTGTCTCCCAGATATTAAACCAAATATAGTGGCAATGGGTTTTCCATCAGATAATCTTGAAGGAGTGTATAGAAATCACATTGATGAGGTCCTAAGGTAACACAAGTGTCTCTCTGCCTGTCCAATAATTTGTGAACTCTGAGCCTCAGAGTAAAATTTGAAATTTAATTTCACATTACTATTAATTTTTCTTCACAACTGGTGCTCAAAAGCAGAAACAAATTGGATTATAATCATCCAACCACGACCCTCTGAACCCAATGCAACATGGCACATGTTTTCCCCAGATTTCAGAAACATGATTAACAGTAGGTAAAACACTTTCCCAATGTTGCATCTCCTATTCCATAGTTTGCAATCTCTCACAATCTTCTACTTGTATCAAACTAAGTGCCTTGGAGCATATAGGGAATTATTCTTTTTGTTCTTTCATGGTTCATAGTTTGTGTGTTATTGAAAATGGTAATAAGCATTGTTATTGTGCAGAGAAAACTGTTGTTAAAAAATCTTTAAAAAAAGGCAGTACAAAATCAGGTTGTTTCTATAACTTTTTTCATAAGTGGCTGCTGATGGTGTAATAGGAAGCTGTGCTTGGAAAAATGGGTTGTAAGCAAAACCAAACATGGGAGCTTGACCACAGGCTAAACAGGCAACAGCAAGAAGTCTTACAGGCATAGGTAGAATGCCAGTAACTGGCTTTTATAGAAGCACCCGACCATGGTATCAGCAAGGCCTCATGGCCCTGTATATAGCCATCTGAGATGCAAAATGCAAGAAGAAAGAGAAGTAGCTACAGTCACATGATTAAGTCTCTGCAGCTGCATTATAAAATCTCTTGTGACTGAGTTAGATCAGCTGGACTGGAAAATCCTTGCTGTGTTTGTTTCATGTGCTTTTACCTTGAACAAAATATTTTGATTCCTGTTTGCTGTGTGGGTTGATGTAAAGAGAGTATTGTGCAGTTAAGGTTTCTTTAGAATATAAGTCTAAATTTGGTCAAGTTTTGGTGCTGTGTTTGTCCAGTGGCATACCTGTTTTGAATTGCTGATATAGTAATACACTTGTAACTTGTTTACTTTTCTTTCGACAGATTTCTGGAAACAAGGCATAAAGATCACTACAAGGTTTACAATTTGTGAGTAATGCAAGCATTCAATTTGTAGAAGCTAGCCAATGCAATTTGACTTATTGACTAGGTGCACTTTATAAATACATTAGGGAAAAGAACTCATTCTGACAAGTACTGTACATATTGTTTGGAATGAAACAGTCCTGTGCAGTCCATTTGGGCTGACTGAAAAGTCTAGCCATGAAACAAGCCCAATTTTGAGTAAGTCTTTAATGGCAAGCTGGATTGTTGATTTATTTGGGCATGTTATTGAAATAAAAATAAATGCACCAAGAAATTATCAAAAAGTTTTTCTGAAAATGGCTGTGTAGGGTGGCAGTGGGAGCTGCAACTGTGAGAAGGGTCATATAGAGCACATAAATATGATCTAATCTGATAGTTGCAAGAAGTCTCACACAAGGTCTAATAAAAAGCAAGAGACTGATCGTAACCTGCTTTCATTAAAACCCCTGAACCATTATAAAGAGCACAGTTGGTGCAATTCATTTTTTTTCTCATTATACACACAGATGTTCTGAAAGAAACTATGATCCAATCAAGTTTAAAAACAGAGGTAAGTTAGCTTACTACTGTTAGTCAGTTTCTTTTTTGGTCAGGAGTTCTGGTTATTAACAAGATATGGGTTCTTAGCTGTTTTGCCACCAGTCAATCCAAAATAAGAGTTACATCTGTGATAGAGTGTGCAAAACAAAACCAATGTTTAATCCTGGGTCAGACAAAACTCACCTGTAGGAGAGCTTTGTAGGAGAGCTTTGAACAAGCCAGTCACATGACATGTTGTTTGACCACCAACTATCGTGTTAAAGTAGAATATTTACTGCATTTTAAATTAAAGCTTAGCATTTCTGGGGTTTTTATCTTGCATTTGTGTCATGTAAAGAAAAACTGAAGAATGTTTACAAAACCCAGTGAAATTAATGAATTTTGTAATATTTCCATAATATCATACTATTGGTACTTTGAAATATTTCTTGTGTGTCAGAAATCAAATGAGTATTTTACTCTTTAGTTCAAAATCCAGAAGGTTGTTTTCATATTCTTTTTGTATTACTGTACTTTGTATGTAAAAAAAGAAAAAAAAGAGACTGAATGGTACATTAATATGGTCTATTTTCTTTAGTTGCCACCTACCCATTTGACGACCACAATGCACCTCCATTTGAGCTGATTGAGCCATTTTGTGTTGATGTGCATGAATTTCTGAATGAGAGTGAGCAGAATGTAGCTTTTATTCACTGCAAAGCTGGCAAGGTAAAGAGCTTATCCCTGTAATTGAACCTTGGTTGTTCATAAGGGAGAATATTATCAGAGCTAAGAATTCCTTTGATATGAAACTTATAACAGCCTTGCTTCATGTAGAGTCACTGTGGATCAGTGGTAGTGTCTCTATATGAGTGCAGAATCGGAAGCTTAAGGTTTGACTCCTCACAAGAACTCAGAATTTTTTCATTGTCCAATGTTTGTGACAAGACAAAAGAATATTTGCCTTTAATTCTGTCAATTCTGTTTGGTGAAAATCTTTCAGAATTGGGGATACAGAAAAGTAAAGTTGAATTGCGAAAATGAAGTGGTGAAGGGATCATCCTTTTTAGTGATATTGTGTGACTAGATAATCATACTACTGTAAGAATTCTATTGCACTTGAAGTAGGGAACCTCAACAGGTTTTTAAACTTTGACTTTGCAATGTCATGAGGATGGTCATCATCAACTAGCAGCTTAAGCTATGAGAAGGGAGAAATTCAAATTTGGCTTGCATGTGTGTGTGTTTGGTATCAGAATGGGATTAATTTATTGTTAAAATATGATTCATATCAGCAGTGGAAATTACATTCGATAAGGAAATTATTCTTGTAGTGAAACTGTCTGCAAACATCAAAGGTCATAGGTTATGGAGCCTGTCAAAGTCTTAAATTTGTTATAAAAGTCTTAAAGTTGACAAGTTGCTTACTGCAAGGATTGTTTCATTATTTTAACAATCCTATGATTGCTTATTTTTAATCCATTAAGTTTACAGCTATCAGCTACATTATATTCATTGTCTGCATCATCTGTTCTGTACGTTTCTTTTGAAGGGCCGGACAGGAGTTATGATATGTGCATATTTGCTTCACAATAAACATTTTTTTGAGAGTGATGGGGCACTAAAGTATTATGGAGAAGCAAGAACAAGAAATGCAAAAGGTGTAACAATTCCCAGTCAAAGGAGATATGTTCTTTACTACAATCATCTTCTTACACATGGACTGGAGTATACTCGCACAATGGTATTACTGAAGAAAATTGAGATGCTTTCTGATCAAACCCTCTTAAACACCTTTAGTAAGTGATCTATGGCTAATTGGAATGTTAATAATTAAAAATAAATGTAAGTTGCCTTCAAAGTGATGTTAAGGTGTTTTGATGGAACAGGATTGTGGGTGAGGCATTAGGCAGGGCACTTTTGAGACTTGGTGCATACATGTGTGTGTAAATCAAGATATGAAGCATATGCAAAGGTTGGAGAGCACCCAAGATTTGTTATTAAGGGGCAGCCAAGAGCCACTTCAGCTTTTAGAGTGTTGTCTAAACACTGTACATGCTTGATAATCTCCACGAAGGCACAGTTTACAAATGAACATGCAGTAGTTTAAATATTGTCTGAAGTGAAATTTCCTTTGTGGGGGTTCAATGTGTAGACATTTGTCACCAAGGTACACAGTATGAGTGTGAAGCAGATTTGATTTTTATTATAACTATTTTTTAATTCTTCAAATGGAATGGAAATTTGTTAAATGATTGTCAAGACCTGGAGAAAGTGAAAAGAAAACTAATTAACAATTGGTGCATATGTCAGCATGCGTTCATCGAGATTTGAAGCACGCAGGAAGTTTGGAGAGCATGAAAGATGTGTAAGAGTTGCTCGAGGCATAGCCGAGAGCAACCCTAGCTTCTTGAGTGCTCTTCAAACTTCCAAGTGCTTCATATCTCGATGAACACACAGCTGACATATGAACCAATTGTTTTATAACATGTTCAACCAGATGGAAAATTTTTTTTCTCGAGGGATTTGTTTGCTGACATCATGAGCATGCACAATAGGAATATGAAGCACGCTTGCGAATTGAATTTGATTACATAAATTTACCAGCTATGTTATAATAGAGGTTAACCCTTTAACTCCCAAGATCTGATTTTTAATTCTACCCTCTAGCTGCTACACATTTCCTTGTAAATTAGTTATGAGAACTTGGTGCTAGATCTAGATAGCAGCTTCTACCTGTTAAGTTTGATATTCTCATTACCTGTTTGCTGAATAATGTATGGATATTGTTGGGAGAAGTTTTATGTTAATCACTTCTGGGAGTTAAAGGGTTAAGTGTTGAGAGGATGGAGAGAGGTCTGGATTTTTCTAAAGGCTGTATCAAAATGCCTGACTGCTGAGGGAAATGTTTGTAAGGTTGCTTAATTTACATGAACTAGGTAAACCAGTAAACAATTTGGTGAAGATAATTTGGTGAAGATAATTTGGTATGTAAATTCAGCTTTCAAACAGAGATTGCAAATATTATTGGTGGATGTACCCTTATGGACAAATCCTTGTGAAGTACTCTTCTCTTCAGACAAATTGATTAGACTCTGATCTTTTCTCTAAGGACTCAAACTAACCTTAAACTTAATGTCTTGTGCTGCTTTCAGATCCATATTACATCATTTGGCAACAGAAGGTGAACCTTTATCAGTCTAAAGTTACTGAGGTATGATTCCCTTGAGTGTTATCAGTGTTCAATTAATTCCTACAGCTTTAATAATTATGAACAACAAGGGGATGAAAATATGCATAGTGTGCTTTGTAGTACATGAAATATATTTGAATGTGATTTTTGAGAGGTCAGAGTTCCATCCCTGATAGGGCCATTAAATTGGGTTCCTGGGTAAGACTGTTTAGTCTTACTGTATCTCTTTGCACCAGAAAATGGAAGAGCCAACAGTTAGAAAATCTGGAACAAATGTTGAGTTCTACGAAGGAAGGACTGGTATCTGGCAAATTAATGGTGTAGACTTTGCATGATAAGTACAACTACATGTGGTTGCTTGTGATGAATGAAGGAAACCATGCAAGCTTTCTTGATAGAGAGAAATTGCCGTGAAAAGGATATCCATGTGAGGGGGTTAAGTTATTCAGGGGAAAACAAAAAAAATAACCTTAAGTCCATTGGGTCTCATATTGCGTGCATTTTTCAGTTTTAAGGTGTCAACATTTGCACAATCAGTTGTATACTATTTACATAATCAGTGGTTTGGTTTATCATTGTTACTTTCTAAGTGTGGTAGTCATCTTCATTATCATTCATCTTCCAATGTTTGGTTCAAAGGGAAGGAAATGTGACAAAGGATTTATGTTTGAGCCGAGTCAACCAATTCCAATTTGTGGTGACATCAAGATCGAATTCTTCCATAAAGACATGTTTAAAAAGGTGAGATGCAGCTTACAGAGTTTACCATAATAACAGCCATCATTCCTGTCTACGGCAGTGTAATAATTGGATAAGAGAAGCCTGCAAAATAAATAAGGGCCTTGAGCTTGTGCTCACAAACCACCTGTATGAAGTCAGTGATGTTGACAGTACATTTGATTCTCTCCAAACTCAACCTTTTTGAAATAATTTTGATTTTCTTCCTGTTAGAGGAATGGCTACTGTTATTTGATCTTGTCATGCAATGGCTCTCTCCTCAATGGGGAATAGAGGGCACTGTGTGGCGATTTTGACCTGCCCTGCCCTCTCATTCATGTCATTAATCATTTATAACCACATATGTGTGCGTGCACAAGTTATGTACTATATATTCATTGAAATTTCAATGCTATACAAAGACTGCACCATAACATTTGATTTTTATGTGAATTTGTTTCTATCAGGAGAGACTTTTCCAGTTTTGGTTTAACACATTCTTCATAAGTCAAGCTGCTTGGACAGAGGAAATCCAGGAAGATGAGCCAACTCTTCATACGTTTGAACTTGATCCTAATCTACGCTATTTTGACATTGGAAAGGATAATCTTGACAAGGCACACAAAGATGCCAAAGAGAAGATGTTTAAGTCAGATTTTAGGGTGAGTGGAATATTGAATGGTACCCAGTCATCTAAGAATCAACATTTAGAAATTCTAGCTAATTTCTTCAAAACACAAATGATTTCAGCTTTGATACCTGCACATGGGAGGTTTATGGTTAATAGCAATTAATTCAAAGTCTTTTGCCATTGCAGATTCGTGTCACATTTTCAGAAGTCACAATGATGCGGGTAGCAAGTGTAGAAAGTGCAGCAAGTGCAGCAAGTGCATCAGTTTCATCAATTGCATCAAGTGCATCATTGCCTAGGAAACATGTACGGGGGTTATCATCAAGGACCTCGAAAAGTCGCTCTATGGATTCACTAGAAACTGTTGGTCAGGAAAATGCAGAGGATGACTTTTCAGACTCTGACACTGAGGTGAAGTGGGATTTAGAAGACCAAAGGAGCTCTGTAGTTGAATATGTTTAAAAAATAGAAATCTGGTAGTTCTGAGGAAATTTCTAGGACCATAAATTATAATTTTTGTAATAAATAGGCCAGTATGACTTTGTTTTGGCAGTATTAGGTGAGTTTAATGTACTTGTACATTGTTTGAAATATAGCAATTCAAAACTACATGTTATGTGAGTAGATACAGTACTTCATCAGGATGCCTGTACATATATTCTAACTCTGAATCTCTTACGGATAGAAATAATATTGTTTTTGTGCGATACTGGTTGGATTTAGTACCCTGTTTCCAAAAGGTCCTTTACTGTTCACTTTCGATCATTTGGTGGCCAGTGGAAAGGAGAAAATTTTGGCAGCATAATTTACTAATTTGGTGACTTGATTGACTACAATAACATGCTTGTCTGGTAGTTATTCCTATGGTCACCAAAAGGTTTGCTTTTTACATTTGTTATTGCTTGTTTTCATGGAAACTTGGCTATGTGAAAAAGAAATAGATATATTTTGTCATGTTAAATGTTGTGACTTTGTTTATAAAAATTATTTTGAAGGAACTTGATTTCACCAAAAAAAAAAAAAGATGTGAAGAGCTGATCCACGTGAAAAAACTAAGGCAGCAAAATTTTATCATGTTATTTTGGAGTAAAGTATTCAACAGTGCTGTATCTGTAAACTGTGATTACAAGATAGATTTATTTTAAAAATTTATCTCTTTTTTACATTGAAAGTATAACTTGGTTTATAGAAGCTCTTGAAACAGACTGCAGAGTCAGTTTCTTTTTGTAATCATAAAAAACATGTATCAAAACATTTAGTATTCTTATGAATTCATCTTTGTAAGATTTTCCTTCATCTTTTTATGTTTTGTTTTTGTAAATGATCAAATGTCAGGTGGCATTGAAATAAGTACTGATAAATAGTTTTTTTCATATAATTAAAGTAATTGAATTGGACCATTTTGTACATCTCAGTAAAAGGAAAATATATAGTTTGTTTATTTGTGTGCCTATGCAACATTTACTGGACAAAAATGTAAATTATTTGTTGGAGATCACTTTTCATACTTACATTCCAAGGGTGGATCCAGGATTTAGTGAAGGTGGATTTGGATAAATGTCTACTGAAAGGTGGAGAATTCCAGGGTGAAGGTGTTAAAAAAGTTATGAAGTGTTTTAAGGGATAATTGCAGAAAAAAAAAACTGAGGAATATGCATGTGTATCAATGTTTTTCAGGTCAGTGTTGGGGGGTGTTACCAAACCACCTAAACCACCTCTGGATCTGTCCCAGCATTCTAGGCATGAGTGTAAATCTCAGTGCAACTGTTTTCTTTATCCTCTATCTGGTACAGCTGAAGGTTCCAATATTACACTTTTAATCAAAATGATAATGACCATTCCCCAAGGCTTAGTGGCCACCAAAAAGGATAATCCTTTACTAAAAGGGAATGAAAAAGTGTAGTTTCCTAAATGGTTTATTCCATAATTAGCTCACTCTCAGTCTGTGATTTTAGACTTGTCTCATGAGGAGAATTTTACAAAAGCATTACGGAGTTTTTTTTTTCTTCTTATTTTTTTGGATACCCCAATTAGCTTCTAAAGTGGCAAAGATTTCAATGTGCATTGAATATCAATAAAATATTTGCAATGTTCCTATGATGGGGTCACCAAAAAGCAAATAGGTGTCTCAAAAGAAGATGAAACTCTTGAAAAGTTTTCAAGATTTCAATTGTCATTGGATATGTGTTATGCCTTTATTTTCATCTATTAGTTGAGGTGTAAATAATTGAGTGAATAATATGTAAATACCTCATCTTCAGTTAGCCTACCAGCAGGCACTCATTATTAGGTTGAGACCTTGACCACAGCCAGCAAAGAATCTGGTACTTCTAGTGCAATATCTCTCACAGACCTTTCCCAGCTCACCACAAACTTTTTAACCATTTAACTCCCAGATCAAACTTGTAATTCTTCTCACTGTCGGTCATACAATTCTTATAATGTTAATTCAGAGAATTTAGTATTGGATCAACTAGTTATCTCCAAATTGATAGTTTTCTTTATTCTCACTACTTATCTGCTTGATAATGTATTGATCTTGTAAGGAGAAATTCTGTCTTGAACACTCATGGGAGTTAAAAGGTTAAAAGGCAAAGAAATGCTTGTCTCACAGTGTTAGTCATGATGACCTTCTTGTTGGCTATTCCTAATTTTTTCGATGGAAATCCTTTGGAAAACAATCAGAGATTTTTTTTGATATGATAACAAATTCTGAGCAGTATATTAGTAAGGTTTGATTGCTAGCCAGTGAGATGTAGCTGTCAGATCTGAAACTATTTAAATTTTACTCTCACTAGGTAGCCATTGTCTTGCTATTATTTTTAAATAAAAAGTCAATGAAAGAAACATGCTTAACCATTAAGTTTCTTTCAAAATAGATATTATGTTGTTGTACATCCCATTGCAACACGTTTTTGGCAAAATACAAATATAGTTGAATTATATTGCCAATTATTTTTGCAGCTATTTTTGTATGTCAGAGGTTGTTTATGAAAGTGTTGTTTGAAAAGGTTTGATTTGCTGTTTTCTAGCTTGAACTTTAACTACTTTGTAGGCACAAGTGATTTTTTTCAATGATATATGTTAAATTTTACTGCATGGTTAGGTTTCACTTCAACTGCTAGGGGCATGAACCTTGGTATGAAAGTGTTGTTTGAAAAGGTTCAACTTGCTGTTTTCTAGCTTGAACTTAAATTACTTTGTAGGCACAAGTGATTTTTTCAATGATATATGTTCAATTTCAATGTATGGGGAGTTTTCACCTCAATTACCAGAGCAATGAACCTTGCCCCACCCCTAGCCCCCCCTCCCTCCCCCTCATCAAACCTCTTTGTGGATTTAGTACTTTAATTTTAAAAATGTTTCATCTTGACTTTCTTTATTTAAACTCCACCCCATTGCATAAAAGAGAAAAAGAAAACAAGAAATTTCTGATGTTAGAATGTGGTATAGTTTCTAGTGAAATAAGTATGCATTGTGCCTTGTTTGCATCATGGCTTTCCTCAGGACAGCTCTTATTGAATTATGTGAATAAACAGACTGACTGAGTAACAATTGATTGTTTTCTGAACTGATCATCAATAAAACTAACCAAATTGTTTTTGCAATGTTGGTCTGGCTCTCTATATAGTTATCGAACTTTACTTAGACCCATTAGTCGGCAGGAATTTCTATCCAAGCAAAATGTCATGTATCATTCAGCTGTATTTTAGAATTATCCTTAATAACTTAACAAAAAATTATTCTAGAATAGTAAATACTATTCCAGCATTGACTTATGTTGCCATATGTGATATTTTTGATAAGCTGTAACCACAATCAGAATAAAGGCGTGTAATCAAATTCAATCTGAATGGCTTGAACTGGTACATTTCTCTCCGCTGAGATCAGTTTGATGTTCCTAACAACTGGGCCACAAAGCCACCCATTGGTACTGTAGCTGGACACCACGTCAGTAATGCATGGGCCCAATAGGACCAACTAAGTACTCAATTCATCAGTTTAAGTGCATTACTATGCACAGAATGACACATGCAAATCATAGCCTGTCTATTAAATACGGTAGAACAGTCCGGGAACGTCTAAAAGTGTTTAAACTCCGTGGGCTTCTCTTTCTTAACCTTGTCAACTAGGCTAGTATTAGGTGTTAAGGTCTCACCTAATGGTTACATCCCTTGTAAAAGTGTTCAACTGTTCACTAGGGATACTTTCCTGATACTTTCCTGAGCAATTAGCAAGCTCTGAGCATAATCTAAGATCTTGGTATCAAACTAAGTTGGAAATTTTCTCTAATCTTCAAGAAGAAAAACACGCATAAGGGCACTATCCACCAGTTTTTATTTTTATTACGAATGGTTTGCCTCGGAAAACACGACGGTTCAGCGGCAGATGAATGTTCTGTACTAAAGTGCTAACGTAATTATAGTTAAATATAGTTATAAACTCTACAGAATATCTATGAGGGGAGCTTTAGTAACTTTTTCGTAGCGATTATCACATGTCCTGAAATGTTCAGCTAACACCTCATGCCACCGAGAGGCGTCAAACCTTGGCTTAAATTACTTATCCAAATTACTGGCTGCACATTCAATGAACAGCCGGTAATTCGCATAACTTTTTTTCCGGCGCAGAGCTCTTCATGGAAGCACGTAAGTCGCTCTAGAAACACCGATGCAATCTTATCGAAATCTCAAACATTCTTGGGTGAAATTTCTGTAGCCATATCATTGATGTGTATCCCCTTCATACGATTTCCAAGACAATTACGCACACTACAACATTTACATGCTCTAAATAATGAAAGTTGGAAAGTTTCTTTTTTTCATCCATGTTCTTCAAGGTGATTTGCCCTTCTTTCGATTTCAACTAGAACAACAGGTTCCTCTTCAGTTCTTTGTGAATTGATTTTCCCTGAAATACAGTCAGTTGTCCTGGTTACATTTGCATCAATATGACATTCGGTCGCGTGATCTGTGCCGCCGGTGTTCGTTGTAGAAGGTACCTCTTCGCTTGAATCGATTTCATCATCCAACACCTGGATCTCGATTAATCCATCATCATCAACATTCTCAACCGCTTCTTTACATTCCGTGGCTTGCAGGTCTTCCTGAACTTGATCACCGGTAGTATTCTCGTCAGTGCTGCTATCCTCGTGCACCAGATTTCTCTCGAAGTCGCACCCCTCGATAGCACCTCCTTCTAGAGACAACCGCACGTTCTTAGCGAACACTTCAAAATCAGTGTCGACGTCTGGATCGAAGAGAGGATTTAATGGGTCCTCTAGATTTGGATTGTACAGTAAAAACAGCAATCCGTGAACGCAGTCCTCCAGAGTATTGGTTTCTGCCCACTCACTGAACAGATTTAAGCATATTTCCCCCTGATCGTCAATGTTTGGGTGATAAATTTGTGTGATGCAGGTGACATTTGGAGCATTCTTTGGATAATCGTTGGCTTTGATTTCGAATTCGAACCTGCCTCCGTAATAAAGACCATCGTTCGGTACAATTTTCACCCTGATTGTATCCAAGTTTTCCTCGTAATGGGCAACATTTGCCTGATGGTTCGAAAAGCTGGCAATGTTCTTCATGAGCTTATGGAAGTCTTTTGTCAACTTCCCACACATTTTGCCTGCGATCGCAGAGAAAATACTTAGCGAAATAAACTCGAATTAAAATCGAAACTTCGGCTCCTCTCATCGAGTTTTCATCATTGTAAATTATAGAATACCCACTAAGCTTAAACCTCCCTGTTTTGTACCGGTAAAATTCCTGAGCTCCGCAAATTTTAACTGTTATGGTGCAACACCGTGCAAACGTCGTGAACAACATACGACAACCAATAAGAAGGCGACAAATTCCGTTGCATCATCTTCAAGGTTAACCCAGGGAATACCCCTCATATCTCGTTTCAAAAACAACTTAAAGTGTTCTATTCCCATATTCATGTTGAAGGAAAATGCAATTTCAGGGAAAATTATCTGGAATGTAACCATTCCTCGTTTGTTTATATTTTTTTATATAACTCGTATGTCTTAATTTATGGATGTTTTCTAGTTTCTGTACGGTATACAGATTTTGCTTCCGACTAAGTGAAAATTCGAACTGAGAGCAAATAAAAGTGGAATTTTCGATGAGGACAAAACACATCAATAAATTACTAAAATGTATTAAAACAGATAAACAATGACATTCGATATATATTTGGATAAAAATGCGCCTGCGATCAATAAGACATCGACAAAGTGATCCCTACCCACCTCCCCCGAGGTCGGTAGAACATCGTGGTATTCATCAGAAGTGGCCGGTGAGTTAGTTTAATCATAATTCTGGAGGAGTTGTGTTAAAAGGATTGAAAAATTATGGTTCACTGGAAAATCTGTTCCTTACTGTTTATTGGTTACTTATTGAAAGGGTTAGTAGTAGCTTCACAAGCCAGCAATCTAGGAGATTTAGCAAAAATTTTGGCGCAGTTGGCCGGTGGAGAAAATTGTGCATTTCGATGTCCGAAAGGTAAGCGTGTTCTTGGTTGTAGTAAAATTTAACGGAACAGTTAAGGGTAAACTTTATCTCAAGTGTATCACCCTTTCTTCATCAAAAGAAAAAGAGCACATTTTCGCTCTTAATCTCAGACTTATCCACCCCAAGAAAAACTAATTTCGCCTTTTAGACCTTGTGTTGGTATTTCAGAAGTACACTCTCACGTGCAATAGGCTTGAAGCTGAAGAAAACGAGATCTAAATCTACCGGAAATGATCGATGAAGAAGAAAATATATCGAGGGTGTAAAACATAACTCTAGTTTTATGTATTGCTGTAGTTATCCTCTCATACGAATTAAAATGCTGTATAAAAGTACTATATAAACAAATTTGTCCGTGAGAATGTAACGTTATACTTGCAACTGTTGGCTTCTTTGACTGTATTTTAAGTAGATGACATGGTACGTTTTGATTGGTTCATTTGATATTATTTATTCACCTGCTAGTCTGTGTTTACCAGTAATTACAAAATTAATATGGTAATTATCCAGTTTTGACTCTAAAGGTCCCCATATCATTTCTTCCCTAATATCTGCCATAGTTTCTAATAATCGTAGTTCTGATGTAAAATCAAAGTCTTCCCTTCATTACTTTCTTTTCCTCTCATTACATACATATCCGCTGTTGGAAAATCCTACATGTAAAGCTGTTCAACTGACAAACGCATAATTACAGACACAGACTCCTAAGATGGTATTAAATTATTTGTTTCCATATCTGTGGTTGTGCAGTGTGCCTCAACCAGACCTCAATAACTGATCATATTCAATTTTAAGCAGGTTTTTTTTTAATTGAGGAAAAAGGGAAGTGATTGGGGTGTGATTAAAGAGTAAGAGCTTTCAAGTAGTTTCTTGCTTTTATCATTGAAAGTAAAATCTTTCTAATACAATCTATTTTGGTTTTATCAACTGAGTTGATAATGTAAATTGTCCACAGTAAAGCATTTCTAAAGCTGATTAAGCAGCAGTAACCCTTTGTCAGAGAAATCCCCCCCCCCCAACAGTGTAGCACCACAGATTCTTTAGAACTTTACCCCCACTTCTTTCCCATCCAGACTGCATGATATCTTGAAAATATTTATTAACCTTGGGATAACACAATTTTGGCTCCAATGTATTCAAGAAACAAAGTATTAGATGGTTCTCCATTGTGTTCTCATTTCAGGTTATAAGCCTCTTACTAATCCAAAGCATAAACCCTCAAGTGATGGATGTGGTTCCATGGGAATAAAGGTATAGTTTTAACAAAAATAAAAATGATAACTTGTAGTCTAAGGGTAGTCACTGGAAAAGGAAATTATGGATTCAGAACCTCTGAGCAGAAGTTTGCCATGGTAAGAACCATACAGTACACTGAGAGCAATGCATTCATGAGACTGATGCACACAGGATTATCTATACTGCTGGGTAGAGAGAACATTGAAACACACAATGTCTCAATGAAGAATAAGACACAGTCACAATGAATGGAGAATAATTATAGTCTTTTCTTGAGCATTTTCTTTTATTAACTAAACTGAAAAAAAATCTTTTTGCAGTTTTCAGCAATTATATTGGTGACATTAATGTTTATAATTATAGGAACAACCGTGATCTTTATCTCCCTGTGAGCACTGTGCTCTTAATGTCCCCACTAAGATTTCCTCACATGATTTCAGCTTGACACTTCCAATTTTGCTGGTTTTACAAGATGCTGTGATCTCCATGACATCTGCTACGACACCTGCAACAATGACCGCACTCAGTGCGATGATGACTTTAAATCCTGTTTAGACAATGAGTGCCTTCTCACAGGTCTGGGAAATAGACTGCCAAAGAAGCAGTTGGATGCATGCCAGACATCGGCAGATCTAATGTACTCAGGAACACTTGCCTTAGGATGTGCATCGTATAAAGAAGCCCAGCGTAATGCTTGTCTTTGCAATGGAAGGACAATAACTAAAAAAGAAATGGAAGAGTTGGAAAGAAATGAGGAATTATGATCTACAAAGGGCATTGTATCTGTTTTCAGATTTAGGTGTTAAATAATTATTTCAAATAAAATTTTAATGAGAAACATTGTGTATATGGTCTTAAATATTGTTTAAAAGACATGAAATAGTTACGTTGCTTTGGGTCAGATGAAGATAAAAAATGAGGAGGATAATTTTTTGAAAACATCTTCTTGGAAAAAAAAAACCACCTATGGAACAGTGTTAAACAGAAATTAAAGAAATTTTCATAAGCATAATTAAAACCCTTCACAGATTGGCCATACATGTATAAGATACAAGCAGGCAATTTGATCCTGTCACTGATTTGTCATGCCTCAAATCAACTTAACACTAATGTATATTTCAATTAGCGTTGAGAGGCCAAAATGGACATAATTATGTCTTACCAGTGACGTATAATTTCCTGATCATTCCTTCTTTTTTACTGATCGTCCTTCTCTTTGAATTCTTACAAACTCTTCTCCCTTAAGTCGCAGCAGATTCTTTAAGTCTTGCACTGGATGTTGACTCTCATTGGGAGTCTTTGGAATACCAAGCAGACGGCGAACAGCAGGGAGTTTAAAGGTTATATTCTGAGCCAAGCCAAAGAAAGCAGAAACTGCCCAGTAGAGACACATTGCCTGCAAAAAAAATTACCATAAAATATGAACCAGCACAGAGACATGGTTTTCTGACCAGCTGAGCTCCTAAAAGTGACAAAAGAGAAGATTCTCACACGTTAAATGGGGGACTGGGTTTTGGTTAGTGACTTGGTTATTTTCAGCGACTATTGTTATTTGTTGATCACTTTGGTCACGTGCAAGAGACTCAGCTGGGGAAGTAGAAAAGGTCCTACCTATCAGAGGGGTTTTGTTTCACTAAATGGACATTTTCAGAAACTAAATAACTTTATGACAGGAAACTTACTGAAGGAACTTGAGCTGCAACAAAGATCATACCCACAGATACCAGCCTTAATGTATTTGTTAGAATCTGCTGAAATCTGGTTGTGTTGTGTCGGCGCAGGGCATGAAGCTGGTGATCAGAGAACAAAACTCAACATAAGGGTTATAAACTATTAACAACAATAGAGAATTTACACGTGACCTCCAAAGGCCATATTGGTCAACCAAAGCAATAAAATTTATAATACCTTATCATAAGAATCGTTATTAAATCAGTTGATGTAATTATCAATAATTTAAATTTGCATTATAAAAGTTAAGTGAAAATTAATTATTTCTATTGATTCACTTTAAACATTTTAATTCACCAGCTAATATAATTGCCTACCTCAATGAAATTAAAAAAAGAAAAACAGAAATCCAATTTTTTGAAAGCAATGTGGCTCTGATAACATTGTAGATACATTAATTTTAAAACTACATATTTATTCCATGATCAAAGTCCATTCATTTACAAAATATTGAACTAACACTATGAAAATTTTACTGATTATCTGTACAAAAAAATAACATCCAGAAAGCAAAAATTTCATGGCTGTATTGCAAATGTGTTTCTCATTTCTTGAGCTTATGGATGCAACTTAAATCATTTGTAATCATGCACTGTAAAACAGAATAGTTGATTCCTGATGCACCCATGTTATTACATACTCTAGGATTTGTTGAAATGATTTAGTATTTGAATATCTGTCAATAGGACACACTAATTTTCATGAAATTCAATTGTGCTACAAAGCAGACCAAACAGAAAAAGTACTAACAAGGGATAAGCTGCACAATTCTTAAAATCTAGCCCTCAAAAAGAAAAAATATTAAGGTAAGGGATTGATCATGTGTTTGATGCAACCCAGTTCAATTAAGGATTTCATTTTGCCACATTAGCTTTCTCAACAAGTTGATTGTGCTTAAATTTGTTCTAACAAAAACTGAGTTTTCAGAGTCTGTCACCAACATAAAAAAATCACCTGATCAACAGGTGGCCAACTATCACCTGTTATCTTGTCAGTTTTATTTTGGTAACATCCAATTAACCATTCTACTTAAACACAAAATATATCATTGTAAACTTCACTCTCCTTCACATTCTAAGCTTATTTGCCTCAAATTTGAAGAGCACTGAATACATAGACAGCTCTGATAGTTTTGGAAACTTGTTTTTGCTTCTTTAAAAGCCTAAAAGTCAAACTTTCCTTTTCAAAACTACCACACCCAAACTCCACCCAAAATGTCAAGCCATGAAGCAGATGTAAACAGTAAAATCTTGGTTCAACTATGAAATGAAGTAAACAATGAACAGGGCTGGAAGTCCACACCCTGAGTGCTGTAACACGCCTATAAAAAGGCAGGGTGCTTATACAACAAAACATTTATACAGTACGTTTGACTCTGTGATGAGAAAGGCTGTGGATGGAGTGGCATCAGAGTAGAGTGAAGAAAGATTTCTGATCCTAGGTAAGTCAAACAAGAAGTTTTTGTCAATTTGCAAGGGTAATTTGTGAATGCGGATAAAGATTTCCCTCTCTGATGCGAGGGAAAAACAGACAACATACAAGAACTGAAGTATAGTCAAAATACTTCATAAAAGGCTTTCCATGGGATGAAAATATAACAAATTTATGCTGTGAACTCTATCACTGACAGTCTTGTGTGCCACTCTCAGATAGCATTAAAATAATCTATTTTAAATTAATTTTGATCATAGAATCCAGGATCAGAGCAGTATGATTAACACTCCACTCCCAAAGAAACCCCAAAATCTATGGCTTTATTTAAAAAGCTATCAACAGATGAAGCTGAGAAAAGTGTACTACAATGTGCCCGATTGTATAATATGTAATTGTGCAGTCAACACATTCTAAATGTAAAATTGATGAAACTTTTTAAATTTTATCAACAAGAATTGAATAAGAGACTTTCAGCACTTTCTTAATATTTGGCATTTTGGGGTATTGGCTTGAATTAAATTTTTATCAATTTTCAAAAACCATTTGCCAATAATTTACTTCTAAGCCATCAAATGATTCTTTTTAATCAGTATGGTTTACATTCAACATCAATAACTAAATCATGAAAAGAACTCTTGAGCAATAAATGTGAATATTTTTAATCAAGCATTATCATATTGTATGTGACTCAAATTACTCACTTCAATATTGGCAAGATTAAAAATACCAACAGCACAAGGTATAATCAGGGTTGGGTCTGCTGCAGTGAGATCTGGAAACCAAAGGGCTCCCTCATGTGCGATGTCTGGGCAAGGAAGGATTACTTCACCTGAAGTGAAATGAATAAACTGTAAAGTGTAATAAAACAACCACACAACTGGCTCAACAATTATTCACTAAAAGCAGATGTGATTAGTAGTGGATATTTACTGAACAGCAAAACAGCAAGGCAAATGTCCACCACTTTCACTGATATTGATTAAGCGAATAATCATTTTAGATTATACCACACAGAAACCAAAGGATTAGTTTACTTTGGTCAATATACCAAACAAATGGGTCAGAAATTCAACTCTTGATGGGATTGAGCAATTTCATCTCTTCAGTGGCTTGGAGGCAAATAGTACTTGTTAATCATTTCAGAACCAAGCAATCAGCTCTTGTGAAAAACCTCTGTTCACCTGTGTGGTGCATACTAAATAAATGTAAATGATTAAGTCACAATTTCAAGACAACAAATCCTGAAGGCACCTTTCAAATACTTAGAGTTCTGTTTGAGGCAAACATGAATTAGCTTATTTAATATGTAACTGGCCAATACATCAAATACAACAATACTTCTCCTTTAGTGCTAGTGGCTCATAATAAGCCCTGAATTTCAGTCTAATTTAACATTTTGTCCATTAATTTGTAGATTCCTAGATTTCTTGAACTGGTTATGGCTGCAGCTCCCGGCTTTCCCACTTACAAATGGTGGGAAACAGATGACAAGACCAAAAGGCTTTACACTGAGCTACTTGCAGAAAAGCTGTCCAGCCCACGAAAATCAGTTGCCACTACTCTCAGCAGAAAGCCCTCCAATGGGAAAGATGCAAGGTCTCAGCTAACATCATCTCCTAAACATGATATCCCCAAAGTCAATTTTAGCTGTGATGAAAGAAATTCCAGGAAAAGCAAAGAAGAAAAAGGTGAAGGAGAAGACAAGAGTGGAAAGTACACTTTTGAAACCATTACCATAGACACACTTGCTAAGTATGAGTACATCAAAAGTCCAAGAAAGCGAGCTGCTAGCACAGTACCTGTGAGTTTCTTTGAATCAGCAGAGAGTCCAGACAGCAAAGGAATTAATAAAGCTGCTACAAGTGGTTACAAGGATAATAGAGAGGTTGGTGACAAACTGTTGGTATCAAAAGTATCAGAGGACTTCAAGGAAGGAAAAACTGCTTCATTTTCAAATGGGCATTTTCTTATTTCACAGAAGTTTACATCAACAAAAAATGATCACGAATTGCAAGGACTAAAGAAGGATGGTGATGCAAAAGATGATTCCAGGAAAGGAGCTTTGATGAAGAAAGAGAAGCCTTCACGTGCTAAACTAGCAGAAATCCCTGAATACACCTCCTCTGAATCTAGCGAGAGCTCAGCAGACGAAACAGTGCTTCTAGGAGCAGGAAATAATGCAAAGAAACCAATAACAGCTCTGATGTCAAAAGAATCACAAGACAACAAGAAAACTGGAGAAGCTGACAAACCTTTAAAGATTGAGGAGCTCAGCACAAAGTTTCAGTATTTAAGCGAGGAAGTTGCCCAACTAGAGTTTAAAATGTTTGAGTTCTCTGATGACATAAAGAAGTTGAAACAAGCTATGGGATTTCAAGATACCAAAGTTGAAAATTGTGAAAAGGAAAAAACAAGCACCAAAGAGCCACCTGTTGTGAAGAAAAACGAGTATGGAATGACACGCTCAAAAAGCTTCACACATGCTGATAAGTTCAACAGCAAGGCTTTACTGATGAAGCAGAATGCTTCACCAAGCAAGATGCTGGCAGCTAAACCTGGTGGGCTTCTTTCAGAAAAATTACCATTGGAGGGTACAAGCAAAGAGGATGCCATTGCTGAGTTGAAGAAGAATGGAGCCTTGACTGAAATCATCAACAAAATAAAGGTGCAAGAATTCAGTGAAGATGAGATTCAAGAAATATTGAGATGTGCAAAAGATAAGTACATGAAGAAGCCAAATTAGAGGAACAAGATGAGAACAAGGCAACACTTGGAAGAATGAGCAAATGAATGCTATTTTTAAATATACAGCAAAAACAAAATTAATTCAGGGTAAAACATGCTTGTTCAAACATTTTCAACAATGACATGTAAGCTCTCATTTTCTAGAGAAATAGAAAGGTGTGAAAGAGTAAATCATGTGGATTATCACAGAAGACAAATAAAACAAAGAGGGAATTTGGAGACATTTTCCAAGATAAGATGTCAGCTTCAACTCTTGTCAAAAAAAGAAAAAAGGGCATTATTGTACAGGCCACTTGTGAAGAGAGACACATAAGGTAGCACATTATTTGAGCAATAAACATGGAAGACAAATTCAGGCCATAGGTTGAACAGTCATGAAAAAAATAGAGCAGGAAAAAACAGATATTAAAAAAAAATTGGCAAGAAAACTGGAGAGGACCACAGGGAATCAAACTTATTCAGACCGATGGAAGATCACATGACATTGTCAAACTGGCATTATGGTTGCAGGATTGAAAGAAAAAGTGATAACATTGGTCAAAAATTGAATGTGAGAGCCTATATGTGAAAATCTGCAGTGTAACAGTTAAGTAATGGTTTATAAAAATATTTATTTCATACCATTTTCATAATGAGACAGTATTAATTTTGATGCAATTTTCACACAAATAATCAAACAAATGCATAATTTAAAAGAATAAGGATCTTAAGTAAAACATACAAAGTCACAAAATGTTTCAGCCTGAGACGCCGCCAAATACTCCTAGCAGGTCTTGTCAATTTATTTCTTATTACCCCTTTCCCCTCCTTTAAGATATTTTAGCAGTACATGTAATTTTTCTGAAATGATAAGGTAGTTTCTATAACGAAACTAACGCATTCATTTTCAAGATAACCACTTCATGATTTCTGAACAGTTTTGAACTACATACCCAGACAACTTCATCCTAGTGAAACTACTAAGTAATCCCATTTTACTTTTTTGTACTAATTAGCTATAACTTTCACATCAATGATCATGCAATGTTCTCAAACCTTATTTTGACTAATATGTTGTGTGACATGTACAAGCTAGATTCCAACATACCATATTTTATTCACTTTTCATAACAAGTTTTTTAAAGGAACATTTTTAACTTGGATTTTGTAGTTAAATTGAGAAACAGAATTAAAATGAAAGAAAATCACTGATGTGAGTGTAGCAGTTATGATCACATTTAACTATTAGTAGATTAATAAAAATGAATGTACCAGCAAAGTTAATATCCACCTCTCAAGTTTTCCAACACTCAAAGGGGAATAGCAACAGCAGGTGAAAAGCATGTTAAAGCTCACAGAATAAAAAGTTTCATCACACTTTGTTGCAAACATCTGTGCATGAATGTTACCTCTTTATCCTAAACACCTCCATTTTAAAATATAAAACACATTGTGATCTACAAGAAAGGGGAAGTTGAATTGATCAGTGCATTAATGAAAATTTGCTTATTAGCTATACCTGCATTCCTTTGCCAAGGAAAGAAACCAACCAGGTTTCTAAGTGACAAGGAGAGAAAGAACCACAGTGGAAGCTGAGTCCATGGCAATATTGAGAGCCTCAATGGACTGAGTCCTTCAGACTTGTAGTACTCAGAAATCATCTTTCTACTCTGAAAAATTGTTTCAATACAAAAAACTTTATTCATCATGTGTTATTTATATCAAGTAACATTACATCTGCAAAAACTTTATATACATACCCATTCATATAAACCAGGTGATCATGGCATAAGCTCTTGTAGAAGAATACAAAAGCCATATTTGATGTAAGGTTAGCATCAACATTGCTTTTTCTGGATAAGATAAATCAAGGGTGCATCTTGACATTGAAACTCAGTAATCAGGGAAAGAGACTAGAAAACCTGATTGGTTGATGACTGACTTTTAGTAGAAGCCCACCCTCTCATGATCCTCTGTTTTGGTAAAGGTATACTCATGTAATATGCACTTAATTTTCTACACATTTCATTCTTTGCAATGTCATGCAATAACGCTGTGAGGAAACTAAATATCACCCTCCTTCAAAACCTTTTACTGACCCAAGAAGACTAGTGGCTAAATATTCTGAATTGAGCTTGAATGAAAGCTTGAAAAAGTGATGAGTTCATGGTGCAAATTTTTCAAATTTTGGGGAGAGCAGAATTTTTCCCAGGTGAAAAGTGATTTTCAACAATTCTTTGTTGAATAAATAGCTATCAAATCTCTCAAAGGTTTTTTGATGGTAAAATGTTTGTCATGATGCACTGTCAAATCACTCAAGTAAAAGTATTTTAATGACATTAATCAAAGTTGTTGCTGAAATTTTTTCCCAGATGTGCACTGAACAGACAAGTACCTTAAAAAAATGTTTGTGAGATTCAACAGCTATGGACAGAGATTAAACTAATAAACTAATATCCACAAATATCCAGAAAAGGAAAGGATCCCTACTTTTCTCAAATATTGTCTCTCTGCTTCTTCAGGAGGTTGATTTGATCTGCGACACTCTCCAACTACCCTATGCTTAAGAGCTTCAGTCATCATACTAATTGTTGGTTGACGCATTTCAATTTCAGCAAGAAGTTTATTCTGATAAATCGCCAATGGAACTGTGACTATACTTCTCAAAGCAACTGTAGAGCCAACAATCACTGCCCACCTTAAAAAATTAAGAATTACAAATTTCTGATTGACAAGTAATAACTACCGTAGACAAGAATTACTAGTGTGGTTCATGTCAATGTTTTCGCAAAGAACGCAATAAGTTGGCCAATTAGAGAGTAGAGTGAATAAAAAGCAACACAATCCAGAATTAATTTCGACAGTGCTTTCATCTATTGCAGTTGTCTGACTGTACAAGTGCAGTTTAAATAGGCTGAATCAAATTGTACGATAATAATAATAATAATAATAAAAATGAAAAGTAATAAAAATAACCCCAGAATTAGTAGACAAAAAATTCTAATTTATTCAAAGACAGAGCTGACAAGCATGTAGTAAATTAGCTCTTTACAGCCTGACTAGGTAATATGGTTAACATATTTTATCACGAACCATGGAAGATGAGTCCAAGTATGGACTGTCTCCAGGAATACTTGAAGTGCATACACAGGAGGAAGATCGGGAGAAAACAAGAAAAAATACGACGGTGCTTCATTGCTACTATGCCTCTTGTCTTGAAGAGTGTAAAATGAAGGTGTAGTGGCAACGTTTGGATGAAGAAGAACTCTCGCGGGTCTCAATGTCTGTTGAAGATACCAGAAATACTATTTCAATGCAAAAACAGTCAAGTTTATCGAATGTAATTCTAAACAAGAAGAAAAACTTACCGAGTAGTTAAAACGTCTCGCCAACAGCCGTAAAGCACTCATGTTGCATTTGTCAGCTGCTTTTTATGGTCTTCTTGGGATATGTTATTTTAATCGCCAAATTTGCCGCCATGTTGTACAGCGCAAGGTGATGCAGGCGCGCATTTCCGTCACCAGGCTCACTCGCTTTACTCAAAACTATCTGGGGTGTGGTAAGCCCAAATATTCGGCTGAGTGCTCTTAAGTTCTACACTCAGTCCAAACCGCTAATAACCCTAAGTAGAGGATGCGTTGTATAGAGACCACTTAAATTATTGTAAGGGTAATGAACTGTTCCTGTGACGTGTAATAATAAAGTAAACGGATACAACACAGCAAACTTATGATGGCACGAGTCATACCGTAAGATGTCTTTAAAAAGTATTTGAAAGTGTTTGAAAAGTATTTTGACTATACTTTTGTCAAGAAGTTACAAAGATATCATGCATAATTTTAATATGGGAGCATAACAATTTTTCTCTTCCCAGACGATGAACGTTTTTTCAACGCTCATGAACGTTATATTATGGAATATACGCTAAAAATATTTACCTAACGTCCAACGTAAAACATTTGTTACTTTGCTATATGTTGTTTTTTCATTGTTCGTTTCCATCGTCCATTTCCTTACTGAGATAAAAATAAATTTATTTTGACAAATATTTTTAAACAAACCGATCCTTTTTGCCACCTTGTGGCTCCATAAACTTTGAAGAGTAAAACATACTCCAAAATTAAGATTAAACAGAACTAAACATGCATCTTTGAACAGCTATGCAGGTCTTTTTCACCTCCTAGCATGGAATCCAAGATCTTAACATAGGGGGCATACATATTTATCCTTACGATCGTTTTATGACCTGGCGACCGAGTTTATGGCACTGGACTTATCTTGTTCATTGCTTGGTTTAAGTTTTGAGATCGATGTAAAAACTAAACTGGTTAAGAGCCTATCTTAGCCAGTTTTTTGTTGCTTCAATATGATAGCATAAACATATTTTTACTGGAGAGCAGACTTGATTAAGATTGATAAAGTTTAAGGTATTAGAGTGTGCTTTCAACCCAACCGAGTTTAAGCCTGGCTCCAAGAGTTCTCAGACTCCACCCTCTGAGCCTCGTGGGAGTCAATAACTCCTCTGTGGAACTGTAATTCATAGGCATTTCCCTTCCTGGCTGGGTGTTGTCAGGAGACTCGGTTTGAGTCTCAGATCGTGAGGTTTCTACCTCATTTTCATGGTCATGAAACAGGTTTTCCGTAAATTCCTCTGCATTCCTTTCAAGAACTCTTACTTGATTTGAATATGCGCCTAGGATTGGTACTTCTGGGCCGTAACTGGAATTTTGAACACTTGCGTCATCACCGAGGATTCTGATGAAATTGTTTTGACTTTCATCACCAAATGAGCTGTTATTGTTGTTGCTATCACCAACAGCCCCGTCCTCCTCACTCGGTCCAGTCTCTTCATCAAAGCCCCGGTTGTCTTCTTGACTGCGATACCCCGGATCAGACGAACAGTTGGAAAGTTTAGTTTTGAGGGCGAGCATCTCAAACTTAGCGGCTCCATTTGGAGGAAACTGAGCAAAGTCTACAGAGAGCCTCGCTTTAGGGCTGGGGCACGACAAACTGGTACGTTTGAGATGATTGTATTCGAAGCCGGCATATCCTTCCCATGAGCCCCTGCTTACCGTTGTAGTACTACATCCCCGCGTGCGCAAATCGGTCCTAATGCACGGGCAGAACAAACAAAGTAGAAACTGGAATTCCTTTCTGAACTGCGGGTTACGGAAGCCGTAAATGTAGGGATTGAGCGCGCTGCTTGTGAAAGCGCACCAATAGGCAGCCTTTCCTAACGCCAGCACTCTGCGATCAGATGACAAGGCGGAATTTTTGGCGCTGACTAGTGCAGCGTATAAAAAGTATGGTAGCCAACAAAATAAGAAAACCACCAGTAAAATAAGCACGGTAACCGCTACTTGCTTATGGGCCGCGGTGGAACCAGTACTAGAAGTGCTTGAAAACGAGACACGACTGACGCGCCGTGTGTGACGTCTGGCCGAACGGAAAATATTACTGTAAGTAAAACCCATGATGCCAAGCGGTACTACGAAGCCAAACAAAATGACAAAGATGGCGAACACTTGCTCAGAATGATTGGTAGGGAACTGGACCCCACACTGAGTTGTACCTATCAAAAAAGAACTATTTATTAGGGATCTTAAGTTGATATTTATCTAATTAAGCCATGATAGCTTTCCTGATGGGCCACATGGTATGAATTTCCTGCGCAGTTAAATATTAGGTACTTTTCATTTTCAATCGCCATCATTGAACAGGGATGAATTCTATGACCTTTTACCCTAAAGGAAAAAGGTGAGAATCGAAGAGACATGAAAAAAACTACCATATCTATCAGCTTTTAAAAGCGTTTGCCGGTCAGTACTTAGAAAATAATACAGAGCCCGATTCAATCGAGGGTCCCAAACTTGAAAGGAATTATCAAAGTTGTCACTGTAGATAAAATAAATCTCACAATCGGCTAAGAGGGCTTAGGGCATAGAAAGGCAAACTGAAAGAAGCGAAGATTTTGCCATAGATCAAGTCGTACGTTTTCCAGATTAATCGCAGAGTGCAGGGCAGAAAAACAAAAGAGCTTTAGTTCCTGCTATCTCAAGAAAAACCAGTGCAATTCACGATCACTTTCGACGTTAAATTAAAATTTACCGATATACATCAGTATTTATATAAATACCTGATTTAAATTCATACTCCATGATGCCAAAGAGAGGAATACAAGCTATGACAACTGGCTGAATCCAAGTCCATAACAAGAGACCAATGGAAGACTTTCGGCTCATATGTCTGTGGTACAGCGGCTTACAGATGGCAAAATACGTTTCTACACTTATCGCTGTAAGCGTCAAAAGCGAACTCATGCAGAATACTATGTTAAGGAAACCATTTAACTTGCACAGAACATCACTCAGCACCCATTCATGATTCAAGCACGTGTACAACGAGAAAGGCATGCAGATTATTGCAACACCGATATCAGCACATGACAGGTTAATGATAAAAATGTTTGTGCGCGTGCGCAGTTTACGATGTCTGGAGACTGCCAGACAAACCGTTCCGTTCCCAATCAGAGTCGCTAGCATGATCAGTACCAGACTCCCACTCATCAGAAGGCGTTCAAGTTCATTATACGTGACCGTCGTTGGTTCGGTTGTCCCATTTATGTTTTCTACACTAACTGGGGAAAATTTATCGTTATTCATCACCATGTTGCAAGTTGCAAGTTGCTCTCTATTGCTTGGGGCTAAACATTGAAGAAAAAAGATAAAAATTATAAGACAGGTTTCACTAATATAAGAGGAACAGTTGTGTTGCAGTCTCGCTTATTGAAGTTTTAGCCTTATCTTGCTAGTTTCTTATTTGCAGTCCGTATCAGTTGTTCAATCCCGAATATAAATTGTCTCTATTCAGTGTACTGTTTATTACTCCTGTCTCTTAACCTAAGCAGGCTTATCGATCTTTATACCCTAACATCAGAATGCATATTCTCTATACTGTTTTCTATAGAAAAAGAATCCCGCTTTAAAGGTCGCGAGTGAAGACGGAAAATGCCGCACGCTTCCTTCCCACTCAGATGTAGGGAGAGGCGTTCATTTGATCTCAAAAACGTTCATGTGTCAATTAAGTCGAGCCGGACGGTAGAAATTTGGCTCAAGGTTTACAACGTACAAGACCTTGCTCCCCTCCCACTTGATCAATTACTGCAAAGTCTAGATAATTTTTAAATTGTTTACGTTACTAAAAATGGAAAATATGTGTAAACTTGCCAAAGCTAAGTGAATAAGGAACGTCCATTATTGACCACTAGCTCCTTTATAGTCAATAATGTGTCTAATATGCAACGACCCATACGCGGTTTTCCGTTTTTTTCAATGCAGAATGGGTAGGAATACAGTACAGAAAGGTAAGCCTGCAACTGTCAGTCAACGCTCGCATTGTTCTATGACTCAGTGTTGTGACACGGGATCACCTCGCGCTTTAAAGTTCAGTGAAAGCTTTTCTCAGAGTAAAAGTCGAGAGCTTATGTCAACTGAAAAGAATTGTCTAACCTAAGAATGCTTCATATAGAGTGACTTTCAACAAAAGTTGGGATTCAAAAGCCAAAACCGGTACCTACATCTCTAGTTACACAATTTTAGTGTTTATTTTTTAGTTTATTTTTGGATTTTGAGTTTCTATAAGCTCGACGCGCTTCTTTTCTCAGTCGACAGCCCAGATAGAATCAAGGATTCTCTCTCGTCGACAACCTGCAAGAATGTACTCACACGTGCAACATATATGTCGGTAACAATAATGTTTGGTAGGGTACATACGCTAAAACCTAATTTAGTTTGATTGTCGGATATTCAGCTCTGAACAAAATATCAATAACTTAACGAAGTAGTACTGTAAGCTTTAACTCTTGAAGTGTAAACACAAGCCTCATTTCAGCCTGAAGGGTCTGAGTGATCAGAACTGTTTGATGGGGTTGAGCAAGAGTTGGTGTTTCAAACAATAGGTCACAATACCATCAACGTGTTACTCTACAGATACACGATCATTCCTGAGAGCGCATTAAAAATATATGAATGGCAGAATTAAAACTGAGACAAGACAGGAATAGCAAATGCCATTTGTTCTATGAATTTAGAATTTCCACGATGAACATTCAGAAATTATTGTTACGGACGCGTTAGACGGGGAGCCTGTTATGACTTTCCAGAGAAAATCCATTAGTTTTTAACTCTTTAAAAAAGAATGACTGGCTTCTTATTTCTCCTTTCAGTATCAGCCTTGAATCAAATTATGAAAATAGGGGAAATGATCACCAATTGAAGAAGCTTTTAATAAGATTGTCAAACAAATTCTCCTTGTCAGTAATATAAAAAATGTAAAGAGAACAGTGTAGAGAATATGGATACCAATGTTAGAGTGGAAAAGGTTAAATAATAGATGGTTGGAAATTTCAGATCATTCAAAATGTTGTAGAGCCAAAAACCTGGTTAAGTTGCACTACCTCAGAATTTTTCTTTGGTAAAAAAAAAGCAGAAGTCGCTTTATGTTTTACATCTCTGATTACAAACAAAGAATAAGAAAAATTCATGGTGCGAAGTGTTTGATGGTCAACATACCTAACGCACGACATGCTCAATGAATTGAACAATATAACGATAAATGGTTCCGCGATAGACCTTGGACTAGATTGAAAATTTATGCTCTAGGTTTTGAGAGCATCTTACAATGAACAAAGCTGTGAATTTCTGCATTTTTTATCAACGAAATCGAAATATAATGAGCACTAATTGTTTTATCAACAGGTTTGTGTCACGCCAAACACTATAACTTCCATTACGCTCAGTGAGACAAGCCATGCATTTTTTCTTTAAATCCATAACAACAAGAATTACTTGCAAAGTGGAAAACAAAACCGAGACAAATTTATCAAGGCATTTTGACTATGCAGCTTGCGGCATCTACAATATTACATAACCAAAAATAAAAAGGTTGAAAACTTGTTTCGTTTGATTTGGAAAAAGATGTGACAAGTACGCGGTGGCTGGAAGACTGTCTGCAATACCACGCTTCTCACGCACGTAGAGCAAGTATCGTCGCCTTTAAGGGAATAGCAAACTATTTAACATTGACTTACCAAAATAAAAAACGCGCGGATTTTCCCTGCAGTGAAGTAACTTTGCTCCTTCCCGCAATATTTTCAGAACATGATCATGTTGTCAACTTTAAGTGCTGTAACATATCCGGAGACAACATCGGACAAAGCCAGCAACAATAGCATTGTGGACATCCTAGGGAGTCGGATTTCAAGTCTATTGAATTCAGACGTTCTCCGGAAATGTGTTTTCTTTGTTCTCTGACAAGGGGAGAGGAATCGTCAAAAATACGAAAGATCATAAATTGTAAACATCTCTTCTTTACTTCGAAAGAATTAACGAAAATTCACGTTGCCTTGTGCCACTGAAAGATTTGTTTATAAACTGTTTAAAGAAATTCACAATGGAATGTTAGTAATCTTGATTGCGACAAATTAGGCAAATAAAAGAGCCACATGATCTATGAGTGACCGAGATATTTAAAGAATGGGATATGTTGATGATATATACATTTATATGTTGTCACTTCACCAAAATAGACTCACAGAATCACCGAAAAATAAACAGCTCCGCATTGCAGGGTTTCGCCTTGATTTTGAAGACAGCGTTCTTCAAGCTGGAGACCATTAGTCACAGTGTCGCAGCTAAAGCGAA